ATATCTACATTTTTGCCTACTATAAATGTGTAATGAGTTCATACTATAAAGTTTTAAAAACCAAGACATTTTTTCCATACCATGACAGTGAAATCAAATAGTTTTCCCCCCTAAATAACAGCTTACAATATATTAAATATACTAATGCCCAGTACAGTAAGTCAGGATTCAAATTGACTGCTTTTTTTTTCAGCTGTAGGTTAACCTTCACATTCCATCTAGAAAATTGAAGTTTATAGCCGTGTGCCCCAGAACAGAGTATTATACGTTTTATTGATTGATTGAGACGGAGTCTGTCACCCAGGCTGGAGTACAGTGGCACAATCACGGCTCACTGCAGCATCAACTTCTTGGGCTCCAGCAATCCTCCCACCTTAGCTTCCCAAGTAGCTAAAAGACCACAGGTGCATGCCACCATGCCTGGCTAGTTTTTTGTATTTTTTGGTAGAAACAGGGTTTTGCCATGTTGCCCATGGCTGATCTAGAACTCATTAAATGATCCACTGGCCTTGGCCTCCCAAAGTGCTGAGATTACAGGTGTGAGCCACTATACCTGGCCTAAACATTTAAGTTTGTTCCATCATAAATTAGGGATGGTAATACCTATGGATGATATTACCTTGTAGAGTTGTGAGAATAAGATATTTCTGTAAAGGTGAAAGTTATGTTTTAATCTTGAAACAATTTCAAGATCTTGAGGTAATAATGTAGTGTAAAAATTTTTTGTTTTCTAGTAATTACACATTTGACTTCCTTTATGCCTACTCTTAGATGGCCTCTCTTGTGATTAACTAACACATTTTGAATGAGAGTTAGGCCTCAGCAGAGTTAGCAAATGTGTTGCATGTAGCACAGAATTTACATCAACCAGAACTAATGACACCTTGACCAGAGTGAGTAAATCTAAGAAACATCCATTCAGGCTGGCACAGTGGCTCACGCCTGTAATCCCAGGACTTTGGGAGGCCGAGGAGGGTGGATCACAAGGTCAGGAGTTTGAGAGCAGACTGACCAAGATGGTGAAACCCTGTCTCTACTAAAAATAAATTAGCTGAGCGCAGTGGCGGGCACCTATAATCCCAGCTACTCAGGAGGCTGAAGCAGGAAAATCATTTGAACCCGGGAGGCAGAGGTTGCAATGAGCCGAGATCGCACCACTGCACTCTAGCCTGGATGACAGAGCAAGACTCGCTCTCAGAAAACAACAGCAATAAAAAAACAAACAACAACAACAAAAAGAAACAAACAAAAAAACCCATCCATTCAGCCTAAGTAGACAGAAGATCCACAATATTTCCTTTTACCCAGCTGGGCCCATATTACATTTCTGCCATTTTATCCAGTTGTGGACTTTCTTAAACAACTAGTCTAAGTGAATGTTAGATTCTACACTCAGTTATCCAGATGAATGAACTACCTTATTCAGTTTAATGCCCAAACCATCCTACATGGTACAAGAAACCAATTTATAGGATTAACATATAAGTATCAGTTTATTCACAATCTTTGAATTATACAACTTATTTCTAAGCATTTTTATTTTTTCCCTTGAATCTCCAGTACCTCAAATACTTTATGGGAAACAGGATAGCTTGGGAAAGTATCAAAATTCTCATAAGACAATTCATTAACATTTGGCAAAAGAAAGGAGATATTTAATCCGTTTTTGACTTTACATATGTGAAGTGGAATTAATGTTAGTCTTTTCCTACCTCACAAAAATCTGAGTTACATATACTTTGGAGATAATCCATTAGAAAATGCACCTAACTTAATATAGGTTATGAAGGAATTGGTGGGGTGAGGTTTAGGAAGCAGAGATTTTATTACTATTCTTTGCATTTAATTTATTGCAATAAGCATAGATCTTGTCCAAAAAAAAACATAAACCCACTAAAAGCATAAAAAATTTGGCAGCAAATATACCTAGGGCACTGAGCATATAGCTTTATATATACATAGTATCCAAACAGAACTTGATTTGAGCAGTAAACATTATAAAAACAAAGAACAATTGTGATTAAGATTTCCAAGTGTCAGGCCAGGCACAGTGGCCTATGCCTGTAATGAGACAGACTGCTCGAGGCAGGAGTTAGAGACCACCCTGGGCAACACAATCTCATCAGATTCTCAGAATATGACTATTTATTAACCTAATGACCAACTTTAAAAATCATTTCCATTTATTTAGGTCTTTTTATATTTCTCCAAATGTTTTTTTTTTTT